CCCTGGTGGAAGGTTAACCCGGAGGGGAGCCGCTCCCCCTCTGGCCGCCCTCCGCGGGGCCACCTGGGGCACACACCTCCTCCAGCCCCACCCCACCCCGCGCCCTCAGGCTGCCGCCCCTCTCCACGCCCGGTGGCTCCTTTGGAAAATGGGGCCCGTGTGCGCCCCTGCCTGGTGGTGGTGTTGGGGGCCAGAGAGGAGGCGAGGGACTCGGGCGGGCAAGGCTTGTGGAGGGCGCCCAGGGACAGGGAAGGGAGCGGCCGGGCTGGGCGGGGAGGGCAGCGGCTCTTCCCGCCATCACCCTGCAGATGCCCTGCCCAGAGGGGCTTCCAGGGCTGGGCAGTCTCAGCACAGCTCTGCGACAGGCAGGCGGTTTAAGGGAGGAGGACGAGGAAGACAGGCCTGAGGGAGGAGGTGAGGGAGGAGGTAAGGGAGGAGGTGAGGGACTGAGGGAAGAGTCTGAGGGAGGAGGTGAGGGACTGAGGGAAGAGAGTGAGAGGAGGTTAAGGATTGAGAGAAGAGTCTGAGGAAGGAGGTGAGGGAAGAGTCTGAGGGAGGAGGCGAGGGACTGAGGGAGAAGTCTGAGGGAGGAGGTGAGGGACTGAGGGAAGAGACTGAGGGAGGAGGCGAGGGACTGAGGGAGAAGTCTGAGGGAGGAGGTGAGGGACTGAGGGAAGAGACTGAGGGAGGAGGCGAGGGACTGAGGGAGAAGTCTGAGGGAGGAGGTGAGGGACTGAGGGAAGAGACTGAGGGAGGAGGCGAGGGACTGAGGGAGAAGTCTGAGGGAGGAGGTGAGGGACTGAGGGAAGAGACTGAGGGAGGAGGCGAGGGACTGAGGGAGAAGTCTGAGGGAGGAGGTGAGGGACTGAGGGAAGAGACTGAGGGAGGAGGCGAGGGACTGAGGGAGAAGTCTGAGGGAGGAGGTGAGGGACTGAGGGAAGAGACTGAGGGAGGAGGCGAGGGACTGAGGGAGAAGTCTGAGGGAGGAGGTGAGGGACTGAGGGAAGAGACTGAGGGAGGAGGCGAGGGACTGAGGGAGAAGTCTGAGGGAGGAGGTGAGGGACTGAGGGAAGAGACTGAGGGAGGAGGCGAGGGACTGAGGGAGAAGTCTGAGGGAGGAGGTGAGGGACTGAGGGAAGAGACTGAGGGAGGAGGCGAGGGACTGAGGGAGAAGTCTGAGGGAGGAGGTGAGGGACTGAGGGAAGAGACTGAGGGAGGAGGCGAGGGACTGAGGGAGAAGTCTGAGGGAGGAGGTGAGGGACTGAGGGAAGAGCCTGAGGGAGGAGAAAGCACGTAAAGGATGGCACATGATTGGAGGAAGTCTGAGAAGAGGAGGGAGGAGAAGCGTCTCTGGGGGAGGAGATGAGAGCTGGGGGGAAGGAAAAGGCTGAGGGAAGAAATGTGGATTGGGTCCCAGGTTGGAGGAAGAAGTTTTGAGGGAGAAGGTCTGAGGTGAGAGTCTGAAGGTGGAGGGCATGACCTGAAGGAGGCAGGCCAGGGAGGGCTGAGGTGAGCCAGCAGGGAGAGGGGAGGGGAGGGCAGGGAGAGGGGAGGGGAGGGCAGGGAGGCCTAGTGAGCCCCGCCCTGCAGCTGTCTCTGATTTCCCAGAATCTTCTGCTGCTCAGGAAAGTCCCAGCTCCAGCAGCGGCCTCCCTCCAGTGTCGGGAACGCACACGGACAGAGGATGCGGAACCGGGATGGCCACCCCCTCCTTCCTCCCTTGCTCTTCGTGCCCAGGCGGGGAGGACTAGGGTCTCTCCTGTCTGAGCCTTGAGTTCTGGAGGCCCCCACCGGCAGGGGCAGCCCCCGGACTCGTCCCAGAAACTTCCCAGCGAGGGACCGGTACTGCTGGATGTCTGATCGCCTCCCCAGCAGCGCCCAGGCCAGGCCACTGTGACTGGGCCTAGTCAGGTCTCCACCTCCTGTTGGGGAGGAAGGGCCGAGCGAGCTTTTACCTGCTCATCTGGGGTCCAGTCTGGGATCGGGTCGGGAGAGGGAAATGAAGCCCAGTTAGAGGGCTGCGAGCCTGGACAGCTTGCTTGCTGCTGGGGCCTGGGTTCCTCTTGTAAGAGGAGAAGGCAGGGCTGGTCAGCCCCAAAGTCTGGCCCAGGTGCTGGGCCTTGTCCTGCTTGACTTCCACCAGGCCCGGCTACGAGTTCTGTCCCCTGCTCTTGAGCTTCCAGGCAGTGACTATCCTCGGGAGCTGCAGCTTCTGCGTCTGTAAAATGAACCAAATCCTGAAAACGAGCTTGTGCTCTGGAGGGCCCAGTGAATGGAAAGTGTTCAGTGTGGCTGGCTCCAGAGCCTGGTGGGCAGGGCAGCTGGACCCCACCTGCCCACTGTGCGGTTGGAATCCCTGCCCTGAGGCTTGAGAAACATACTGGAGGTGTGTGTGTGTGTGTGTGTGTGTGTGTGTGTGTGTGTGTGTGTGCCCTTCATCCCAACAACAGGGTGGAGAAATGGAGGAGAAGGGATTGTGGGGTGCCATACCCGTTGGGGGGGGCATCTTCTCTCTCTCTCTCTCTCTGGCAAGCACACACAACTTCTGGAAAATTTTTAAAGAAGTGCACAATGCAATGTAGCTATTATTATTATTTAAAATTTGCTACAAGGCTTGTGTGTTTACTGGAGAGAGACAGAGAGAGGGAAAGTGAGAAAGCAACCCCCGGAGGGAATGACCATTCTGCAACCCCTTCTCCTTCATTCTACTCTCAGGATTTGGGGTACACAAGCACATGTGCTTCTTTTTAAAGAGGTTTTTGCCTTCAGGCATGTGTGCTCACCAGAGAGAGACCTACAGATACAGTGAGAGGGAAAGTGACAAATCTCCTCTCTTCTCCTCCATTCTTCCCTTGGGATCTTGGGCATGCACAGATACACACATGCCTAGTGTGATTTTGACGCCGCTGGATGTGGGACTCGAAGCCATGGTCAACTATATAGGAGTTCAGCAACGTAACTGCTATGCCATCTGCTGGTCCCATTTTCAAGCCACAGGGTCTATTACCTGACCCTCCAGCGGGCCATATGGGATCCAGCCTCCTTAACCACCAAGCCACCTGCTGGGCCAGCTGTTACTGTTATAATAACAACCCATGCTTTCAATAGCAGAACCCATTTCATTGGGGAAAATAGGTTTCAGCGTGCTGGGCTTAGAGACATAGGTTCAAACCCTGGCTCTGCCATGTGCTAGCTGTGTGCTCACAGGCAGAAAGCTTTTCCTCTCTGCACCTTTGTTGTGACTTTAACAGCTGGACATGCCAACAGTCCTGCCTCACAGGTCTGCTGAGCCGATGGAGGGAGACCAGTGGGCGAATGACGTGCGTTTCTACCTCACACTGCCGGCCTTGATCCTTACCCTGTCTCTCAGGCCGGGTCACCCTTCTTCACTCAGAGAGGGGACCAGATGGGCCCGTTAACTCTGCATAGTAGGGATTCCTCCCCACCTACTCCTCTCCACACCTTGGGAGGAAAGTTCGACT